GTTAATGAGGTATCGACGCTCTAACTGGGCGCTAATGAAGGACGAATCAACATTCTTCCCCACCCAGCCGTCGATCACCGTCGTTTCCCGCTGTTGCACTGGTGACGTCAAACCTACGAAGGAAACTATCGATACGAGCTGATTAAAGAGGAATCAACGCTCCTGCCGGGCGCTATTGAATGACAGGAATCAACGTTCTTCCCCTTCCTGTCGGGCGCTACTGAATGAGGAATGAACGTTCTTCCCCACCCAGCCGTCGATCACCGTCCTTTCTCGCCACTGTTGTGCTACTCACGTCAAGCCGACGATAATGTGGGTGGTGACGGGGAGGTGAAACGATGACACGTCAGCTGCTTGCCACGGCAAAAGGGGCATGACAAGTGGCAGAAATATGTTCTTCCTCGACGCAAGAGCTGTTCCGACATGGAACGGCCAAGGCTTCCCTTCGTCAGGCCGTGCATTTTTATTTTTATCTTCTACAAATAAGGCCCGACATGGAACGGCCAACCAATTCAATAATTACCTGTCAAATCTGAACAGGATGGCCTTTCAGGCCTTGTTATTATCGTTATAGTATTACGGGAACGGGAAACCGGTATCAGCAGCACTAACAGTGGTGCCTTTCCTGCGTGGGAAAATAGGGAAAACTGGCAGTTTTCCCAAAGTCCTGAATTTTCGGAGGTCAGGCCCGACGACGACTGCCATGGATAAATCTGATCGTCGGCCGCGGTTTCGTTTCGGCCTCTGAAAAGGTAAGAAGCCTACCCCCTCTGAAAAGGTAAGAAGCCTACCCGAGGCCCACTATTTTCCCCAGCGGCAAAGGCACTAGTACCTTTCCCGCATGGGAAAATAGGGAAAACTGGCAGTTTTCCCGAAGTCCTGAATTTTCGGAGGTCAGGCCCGAAGAAGACTGCCATCGATAAATCTGATCGGCGGCCGTCGTTTCGTTTCGGCCTCCGAAAAGGTCGGACGCCTACCCGAGGCCCCCTGATTTCCCAAGCGGCAAAGGTAAAAAAAAAAAAAAAAAAAACACAGGAGCGAGGCCCCCAGCCTCCAACGAGGGGAACATGCAGGGGCTGCACTCGACCTCCAGATGGGCGATACAGACCAGGGGCAAGGTCCCACTTGCACGGATTAAGAAATTCTGGCCGTTGATCTTTGCAATCTACGGTCAATGTCGCTTAATTCGTGTAAGTGGGACCTAGCCCCAGGGGTCAGGACTGAGCTCCTTTGATGGGCCACTCGCTGTGCCTCCACTCCGGTCCCCTCCCCCTATGAACAGCCGCAGTCTCTGCTCAATGCCGCTCGGGCGACCAACGACCTATCTCTAGGTGGCGGGCACGGTGCATATTATATCTACCCGAGGCACGGGGGCCTTGGTGCACTAGTTTACTAGTCTGTGTGACAGTCGAAGGCGGGAAACAAACGCGATTCAGCATGTGCATTTGCCGCCGGGGTCTAGGTCCGCTTCTTCTCTGTGTGCAAAACCATCGTCCCTATAGTGCAGAACATGGACAGATACACCTCCACCATTTTTTTTATTTTATTTTTTCGGGAAACGGACCACGCACCACTATTTTTGCCTTTTTGCACATCCACGGTAGTGGGGAGAGGCCCTTTGTGTGCAGTTGGGCGTCGCTCCACTGCACAAAAGACAAAAAATCATGGCGGTGTATCTTTTCATGTTCTAGCAGAAGATTCACTCTCTTTTTGCACATTTCAATAGTAGTGGAGCCAGGCCCTTTATTGGACGGACCTCCTTTGGGTGTAGGCGCAGCCAGAGGACGGCGGCCCACAGAAAACCAAAAAACGAAAACTCCTTTGGGTGTAGGCGCAGCCAGAGGACGGCGGCCCACAGAAAACCAAAAAACGAAAACGCCCACTTTTTTTACTTTTTCCCCCCCTTATAGCCTCAGGTGAAGACGAAAGGAGACCTACAGCCTTGCTCTGGCACCACAGCTGACGTAATATAGCACTTACCAGAGGGCCTTCCTCGTCAGAAGCAGCCATAAACAGCCTCGGAGTAGCCGTCAGACTCTCTGGGCCTCGCTGCACTACTCTTGAAATGCACAAAAGACAAAAATCATAGCGGTGTATCTGTCCATATTCTAGCGGAAGATTCACTCTCGTTTTGCACATTTCAAGAGTAGTGCAGGGAGGGCCTCTGTAGGTGAGTAGTGCAGCGAGGGTCTCTGTAGGTGAGGAGAGTAGCCGTGAGACTCGCTGTAGGCGAGGAGGCAAAAACCAATAGGCAAAAAAGGAATACGAATAGGCAAAAACGAATAGTATTCTACGTCAGAAAAAAGAGGTTACTATTCTACACCCTATTCCCTCTCCCTCCATTCCACACGGGACCCCTAAAGCAACTAAGAACCAATGACAAAAGGGAGCCTTACCGCTCCCTGCCCTAAATGGCGGGATGCATAATCCCACCGTCCATTGAAAATGCAATCGACAGTTCCTAACAGTCCCACACTGTCACACGGACTAGTAAACTATACTATTCACTGGCATGTGGGCTACTCCTTTTGGCTGGCAGGCCGGCGGCTAATTTGCTCCCAAAGTTGGGCTGCATGCAAGCCCCATTTTCTTTTTTCATGGCGGGGAAACATACTTGTGGTGGTGGACTCTTGGCGCCAAAAAACAA